AAAAAGTAATACTTCTTACTCCAAAAAGACATCGACAGATTTGGAAATGAATACAAAAAAATATATATAGAAAACTACAATTTAAATCAACTCGTCTGCTCGTCCGTGATGGACGAATAATTAAGGCCGACAGTGGAGAAATTTCTGAATATACCCGTTAATATTTCCCCCCCTCCCTCCTCTTTTTCACTTCCGTACGGATGTCGAGCGGGAATTTGAACAGTAAATAATGACTTTATGTATGGTACAAATCTGCAAAATAAGGGGCGGTATTTCATACTATAGTAGGTTGGGTGGTGTAAGCAAGCAGACGAGCGTGGGTTGGTGCGGTTTCTCTGCTGGAGAAGTGGCTCTTGGCGAGAATGTCTTTTGTCTGGCTGGTAAACTGAGCCAACATTTGTTGACTCTTGTTGATCTGCATAGTTATGCAGTTTGGATAGTCAAATCAATATCTCTCTATTCGAAGAAGAACACAAGTTACAAGTGTATAAGTTCGACTTTCGGTTATGAGAGTTATCGCTTGTTGAAATAAGCAGTTGCATATTCAGGGTGAATATCCATTCAGTCAAACTAATTTCTGCCGGTCACGGTATACGAGCGGTCTAAGGCATGCATTGTTTTCGCTCGCTGGGAAACCGGGTTCGTGGGTTCGAATTCCATTCGGGACATGGTTGTTTCGTGTTTCTGTGCGTGCGTGTGTGCGCTTGCGTTTTTCTGTGTTTGTGTACAGGTAGAGGCCTTGCGACGAGCTGATCACCAGCCCAAGGACTCCTACCGATCTAGTAAACCGAAGTGAAACGGAGAGTTTCATGGAGGTAGGACAAGGCCCAAACTGAGGCTGTAGCGCCAAAGGAAAAAAAACAACTAATTTTTAACGTACAAGTATACAGGCTAGATTTCTGATTGATCGAACTCTTTAAGGTCAGTGACCTGAAAGAAAATAATTCCGGGATATAACATTATATATGATACAAATTGTTCTGTTAGCAGATATTTACTTAGTCCAAAACAGTACCGCGTGTCCCAAGTTTTGAAATCGGAGACCTTCCAAGCAAAACGCAGAGGTTGCGTTTTCTAAGAGCCAGCAAAATTTATCCAGTATCTTTACAATTTTATGGGACCATGGATATGATGTAAAAGACGAACCTGAGTGTTCTTCACTTAAATGTGTGAAAATTTTATTATATTTTAGCGTCATATTATGTAGGGGCATTATATACATAACTAAAAAAATGTATTCTAATATTTATACACTGAGCAATGTAGGAATACTAGCAGACGAATACTAGTACAGGTGAAAGTAAAAGTCAAGTACCTGATGACGGTTTAATGAGCCGAAGCATGTTGCAAGAAACGACGAATGTGTGGTGTATCCGTTCTTCCTATAGTGGTGATGGAATAAAATAAAATGAACATTATTTTTTCAGTATAAGTTTCAATAGATTACAAAAATTCGAATTCTCGGGTTTGTAGACCTACTGGCTGCTTGGCTACTTAGCAAGAACGTCTGCCAGTTGAAGGGGGTTGTTGTTTCTTTCGATTACTAGGTACAAAATTCGTTAGTTAAGTATTCACTTACGTAGCGAGTCAGTCGGATTGTAATTCCGCCAAGTCTTAACACTTCGCCTCGATTTGATCATAATTTTGCTACATGGCTGTTACCACGCAGTACTTTCACAGTTTCTAATAAATTAAGCTGTGTGCAGTAATGAGTCCTCCCGTGTGTATGAATATTTAACCATTTTAAAGAATTTAAATGACATATAAAATTAAACCAGTTTCACTGTTCGCTGATCACAGTGGCCGCGCAGTCTAAGGCATGAACTGTCTTCGTCCACTCGAACTCTGGGATCGTGGGTCCGAATCCCACTCAAGGCATGGATATCTGTGTGAGTTTATTTTGAGTTTGTGTTCTTCTGTGTGTAGGTAGCGGCTTTGCGAGAGGATAATCCGTCGTCCAAGGAGTCCTACCGACTGGACGCGTATATAGGAGTAAGAAACTGAAAAAGCGACCAAGGTCCAACAGAGGACAGTGGAGCCATAGATAGATAGTTTCCCTCCCCTCAGTTGCTTCAATTTATTTTTAATTTTCAAAGGATAATTTACTAGTAAAAATAAATAAGAGGAAAAATGCTCTAAGTAATTAAGCAGCACATAAAGAGTAAGAACAATTATTCTATCCAGGAAGTAAAGAGGTCATTACTTTTTTTTACTGTTAATGGAGTGGGACTAAGTCCCTTGTACTGCGGCCACTTCTGGCCTATTGTACCAGCCCCAGATGATAGGTGAGGGTGATTGTGGAGCAATTGGTGGAATGAAGATTGGCAGGGGGAACCGAAGTACTCGGAGAAAACCTGCCCCGGCGCCACTTTATCCACCACAAATCCCACTTGCTCAGACCCGGGATCGAACGCGGGCCGCTGCGGTGGGAAGCCGGCGACTAACCGCTTGAGCTATGGCGCGAACCTAGTCATTACGCTAAAATTGGTTGCGCCATACTTTATTTAATAATGTACGTCCACAATAGAGGGCATTCGGTGTCGCCTGGGCTGAGACGAAACAGATGGAGAGGACGCAATCCTGGTGTGAGGTAGTGTCAAGGCTGTTGTCTGGGAACACTGAGTGGGTCAACTGAAAGTCGCAATCTCATCCGTAATGAGACTATCTCTGTAACAGAGTCAGACATGTAACGGCTGAGATACCCTAATTATCATTACGAATTCGGGCAGATTTTAATTAAACTGCATAAATGCATTGCTTTCGTACGCGCCCTTTACACAAACAGAATGAAATAAAAGTATAGTCAGAAGGTACTGCTTCTCTGTATGTTGCATATCCGGATCTTAATGAAATCTAACAGGCGGAACCGGGTTATGAGGCGAATCCGTTCCTTTTTCGAATCGGCCCGGTGAATCATCTTCACAGGAATCCCAAACTATTTACTTAAATATAAGCGTCATTAAGATCTGCGCAATTTTTAGGGTGCTGATCATGGAACGAAATGCAAATAACGTAGAGATACAGGGTTTTCGGAATTTGTCCATCGTCCGGCTTCTAAATAACTAAGAAAAAACACAGCGTTTCGGAAACTGGATCTGTTTCCGTCCTCAGGAGAGGGAAGACACCTACTCTGTTGGGTCCCTTAGAAAGAGCTAGCCTCAATCACAATCTTAGTTACTTAGAATGCGGACGATGGACAAAGTCCGAAAACCAGTATCTCTGTGTGTTACACACCATCGTCAGAACCCTATAGTATCTACAAATAACGTAGTTTTCCGCTACTTAATGTGGTATCTGCAGCGTGACTCGTTTTACAACAAAGCCCTTACATCTGCAATAAATGAAAGCATATCCAATATGTAGGGTAGGGGTATCCCTGTAACAGGCTGCGGGGCCCGTAGGGTCGTGAGACGTCGAGACTCCCACATTTTCTACACAATCGGCTCATAGAGGGCAGTGTCCAATATGTAGGCTGCGCAAAATCGCAAAGAACGCGTTTGCAGCTCATCTTCCGGCTCATGTTTCTCAGAGGCTTATCAAAACGACGCGATGTACGTCGGCAGCTGGGCCAGATAATGCTGACTGCTGCTGGGTGAGCTGACGTTCATCAGAAGCGCGAGCAACGGTAGCACGGTTCAATGCAAGACACGGTAATGATGAAATACATAACAACATGGCGCTGTCCCTGAACCTATGTACACTTTTCTGCTTGAAATATCACATGAAGATATATACCATAAATATATCCACACATTTTGTGTGATTGATATGTAGCCCATTTCCCTCACTTCGAAATAATGAAAGGAGGCTTCTGAGATCACTTTGCTGCCTGTGTGTCTCCACAAAGCTTGAAAGCCAGAATAGTGGAGACAGAAGAGATTACTGTTGCTAGGCAACGGCTCAATAAACGCATTCCCACTGCAATGAATACATGAGCAAGGAAAGTAGGTGATTAGTTCTTCCAAGAACTTCCTATTAAACATGGTGATATGAAGGGAGAGGAACATTTCTAAGGGATTCGTTCACAAGTTACATGTCAAACAAACTTTGACGTATATCCGTGTAAAGTATGGTTGCAAACAGTGCACTAAATTATATAAGTATGACCTGATAATCTTTATCAGGGATCGCCAACCGGATGCCAGCGAGAACCCTATCGCTCCCGGACGGTTTTAGGTGCCTGTGAAAATTATGAAATATTAATAATAATTTTTTAACTACTCGCTGATAATCGCATAGGGCATTGTGGTTCTTACTCAGCGCACCGACAGTTTGTTCATTGTCAGAGCGTTAACTGGGTTCCGATGTAAACATTTTCTGCGACATTATTTAATATTTCAACAAGATCTAAAAGTTTGTGACGATTTTATGTTAATATAATTATTAAACTTTTGGGAATTATCCATTGTCCTGTTTATTTGAAAACAACGTTTCGGAGTAGGCTTTTACCTGAGTACGGAAAGAGTTCAGTCTCCGAAACGCACAGGACGATGGATAATATTCGAAAAGTTAATAGTTGTATTTATTATTTGTTAAGAATTTATTTATGGGACAGTTTGTGCCAGAAATGTTTTGATAAAAACAAGGAGTAGAAAGTTGTTTCATATCAAGCTACAGTGGAACCCCAATTATCCGATCGCCCTTCGGTTCAGTTTAAATTGGATATTGTATTTCAATTTGCCATATCCGCAGGGTAGTTACCCACTGTGAAATATTTCTCATAGTTTCCTTTCGTTTAAGAGACATTGGCGATTAATAATTATTCCGTCATGTTCCAAAACGAAGGCTTAGGGAGAAATTGAACGTTTAAATAAGTGTCAGGATCTGTCTTTCTCAAAAGAATCAGTCACTTAGAATTTAAGCAGCTCCGATAATTCGTACAACCTTACTTTGTGCGGCGTCAGGACGCTCATGCGCTGAGCAACAGGTTCGGTGCCGTATGTGTATAAATACGACGCTCTACCAGCGCACAGAGCATACGGGCGGCGTCCGTTCGACTTGCAATCAGGTAAGATTTATCAGTAACCCTGTTACCATAGATTCGTAGTTGCAGGCTCATTACCTTCTTGCTGTGGTAACTGAAGCACTTCAAATTCATTATATTAGTGACAATGCTATTAAACTCACGCTGTTGCTATAGCAAAGTGGTAGTAACTTTGTTACTTTATTGTTATGGTAACCTGAAGTACTTTTAATGCAGTGGCTTGGTGATAATGGCACACTCAAAATGTTGCTATAGCAAAATAGCAGGGAATTTGTTATTCTGTTCCTATGGTAACCTAAATTAATTCAAATGCATTGTGACAAATTTAGACGCTATGTATTCTCCATACTAATAGCGTCGTTAAATAACCAACTTAAAAACTGACGATAACATCATTATATTCACGCTTTTGTTAGAACAACATAGCAACTTTCTTACACTGTTACTATAGTAATCTAAAGTACTTCTAGCCCAGTGTGTAAGTCATAATCTTGTTACATCAGGTAATTGTACTGCTCTTGCATTGCTACACTATTGCCTAATGTCCGTTCGTTAGAAATGCGCCATTTCTCCTCCTCTGTAATTTGTGTCGCTTATGTAACGCTGCCCTCAGCTTTTGTCAATTTATACGCATGCGTATCTAACTCTTTATAGTTAATTTCTGATTGTTTATAATTATATTTGTTTGGTATCCTTAAATACTTTAATTTCATGTTATCATATAAACTGCATTTGTAAATATTATATAATTCAATTGAAAGATCTGGTTAAAAATTACGCAATTTCAAGAAATCCAAAAATTGTTGTCACTGTTTGAAGTTAGAAGACGTAATGGGCATCCGATCAACCAGAGAATTTCTGAAAGCATTTTATTACAATTTTATAAATAATTCAATTCCTTAATTGTGTAATTTCGGAAATACAAAAGCCGTAACTCCGACTTAAAATGTTTGTAGTATTTATTATAAAATACTCTGAACGAGACGTATTAAGTGGCCTAAAAGGTAAAAGTAAAGCTACCCCTGTAACAGGTCTCGGAGACCCATAGGGTTGTGAGACGTCGAGGCTCCCACACTTTCTCCAGACAATTGGCTCATAGGTGGCGGTAAGGTTGTCAGCCTTACGCACCGGCCACCCTTTAAACCCCAGGAAGATTCCTGGTACTCATTTCTGTCAGAGACTGAGTCGACTCCAGGGCCATAGCGCGGCTGGAAGGATTAGGTAAATTGAAAAAAATCCACCTCAGCGGGACTCGATTCCGCGACCTTCCGGCTTGTAGCGTAGTGTCTCAACCAACTACGCTACCGCGTATGCCTCTTAAGTGGTGTAACACATTCAAATAAACTGCTTGAGATGCTTTAAGTCAGTCGCACCGGACATAATGCCAATTCACACTGCTCACAGCACCACCCATCAATTTGTGATTTAGAACTTTGACCTCGCAGGTACACGCTTATTTCACACAAATTTGACAAAGCAGAGCTATGTCCTTTTTGCACCAAACTCTCATATTTGACTCTCAAATTAATAGCCTATATTGAGTCAATCACTACGGCGAACTGCTCAGCACGCTGCCGTGTAAAACTCGGCAGCTTCAAGGAAAAATCAGGTCTGTGAACAATTCAAGATCCTAATTGGTTAAATTTCTTGAAATAAAATAATAATTATACGTAGTACCGCAGGTCACTTGAAGCACTTTGAGCTTCCAAAAATTGTACTTTGAAATTTCGGTTGGTTCTTACCGAGTTTAATACGTCTGAACTTTATTCAGAAGGTGTCCTGTTCGAATCTTGGACGGGACAACAAATAACCTGAGTTTTTCATAGTTTTCCTCAGTTACAATTACCAATTTCTTCTCTAATCATCCTACAATTCTAGCTAGTGACATTAGTGACAATACATGACAAATAAATAAATTGCATTAATTAAGGGTGCTGTATCGACCACAGATGTACACAGTGCGGAAAGTACTAAGAGAAAACTAGAATGCTGAATGCTTAAAAAATTTGGAACAATGCGTTCGTGGGGTACTTGAAGATATAACCTTGTTATTCGAGAGAAGATTCTGGAGAAGTACGAATTACTGAATCAGAGCAACCGGTATCCCTGCCAAGTTTCGAACTGGAACCGTCCAGATTCGTGCTATCAATAGACCTGTCTATAACTTGTGTCACTTCCTGCACTAATGCCGCTACTCTGCACGATCCTACATCAATTCAAACCATTTTCTACCGTGAAGATGGGGCCACCGCTTTTCTTCCGAAACCTAAGTACAATTCTATCAGACTACTGACTTCGCGTTGAACAAGATAGCAATTTCCATGTTTATTTAACATAATCTTCCTATTTTCTTTGATCCTCTAATTAGAGGTTCTCCAGAAATCTCGACTAATCAGGAAGCTCTGAGGTTCATCTCATGCATATGATTTTCTTTCCTTTGTAGATTGTTTCGTAAGATCGTAAATACAGCTATTGCCTTTTCGGATATACTATAAATTATTTATATTATACAGCTTCAAATATCTTAATGATACCTCACAGTCTGTCTACATTTTAATACCATTCTGCCATGGGGGCATAGGTCTCCCAAATGATTTTTACTTGATGTTTTCTGACCAAAATGTTATGCGGAGTCCTCATGTCGACGTGTCCTTCTCATTTAATGCTCCTTGACTTAACTGGCTTGGAAAGACCCAAACATTCTCACAGAAAGAGTAGGCAATAAACATAAATTAAACACATTACAAAAAGAAACATAAACGTCCACGAGATAACAGGTAGCAGTGGCATCTATGAACACAACATGTAAATATTATACGACCATGTCTCTGTTTCTAGAATTAAGTGCTGGTGATCCCTGTGCACCAGATGCAGTCATCATGACTAGGTCAATAGCACTTCGTCCGTGAAGACGAGCTGCAAGGCAGGCATTTCCCCCTACACTTTCACATTTGCTTCATAAATCAATAGTGACAGTAATGGACATCACTTCTTGTAGTCTGCTGTAATGGTTTGTGATGCTGTATTGGCACACGGGTGCAATATAACCAAAGGAATTAGTGTGGCGTCAATAAACAAGTTATGAGAGCTTCAACTTCCAACAGTAAATGGTGGAAAGTTAGAGAACGCCGTGCCCTTTAGATTACTTCTCCACCTTCTTAGTTGCGTGGGACAGCCTGCCACTCAGGCGCCTGAGAGTACACTTTACCGATAAGTTCACAAAGACCGGATCTTCATAAGAGTTCTGAACAAATTTGCAATAACCTGTTAAAGGAAACTCAGTAACATTTACCAGAATTATAAGTAATGGCCTGTGTTCCTTGCAGTTCTTCGACTGGTCGATTATGTGAACACGAAATATTATGAAGAGCCTTCCTTCAAATGTTCACACACATGGATCCTAGAGCGAAACATCTTCGTGCATAATGTTTGCATACTTTCACCAGAAGAGATTCCACAGCCTGAATACAACATTAAACATGTTAGAGGGTTCACACTGTCGTTATAATTGATAATGAAAGAAAAACAAACAGAGTTTGTAAGATCTGAGGTTTCCACAGCGGGGGGGTATGAAGATTTCTATCTTCTGGGGTATAACGCAGTGGATTCCGTTGGAAGTTAACAGATATTTCAGAGGAACATGTCACCTACATCTTCAGGTTCGAAAACTAAGCCAAGCAAGAAACCAACGTGAAGCAGGTAGCAAGCAGAAACTACTTCACGCTGGTTTCTTGCTTGGTTTATTATTCGACCCTGTAGATGGAGGCGACATATCCCTCCGAAACGTCCCCTGTCTCTAAGGCGTTATTCCTCCTTCGAAGAACCCCTACCAACTGTGCAAAAAATCAAGAAAATGAAAAAGTGGTCAAGTTCCAACAAAAAGCTGTAGAGCAATAGACAAATAGATAAGGATTTATTTCCTAAGAGACAGAAACCTTCATACAGAATTGCAGAATCTGAGTAAGAGAAATAAATCATTTTAACTGTAGGCTTACTGATTCCTTATTTATCACTTTTGAACAGAAAGCTAAATATAATTTTTGCATGGCCTCCATGTTCTACAAAAACAAAAAGCTTTAAGAAACGCTAAATTTAAGGACCCTACATTCAGTGGAGCCATTTCAAATCCCAGCAGTCATTTCATATGGGCACAATCTTAAGAGTGATGCCATTTCGTACTGTTTTATATGTGTACTTTTCTAACAACTGAATTTTCCTACAGAATGTTGCAGTTACCAAACCGACGGTTGCAGACGGCTCTGGTGTTACTGGTCGCCATTCAAATGCTTGGTGAGTTCATATAACGTCACCATTAATTCGCTTTGCTACTTCTCAACCAACCGGTCACGGTGGCAGCGCGGTCTAAGGCATAAACTCTCTTCGCTCTCTCGAACATTGGGATCTCATGTTTGAATCCAACTCAAGGCATGGATGTCTATATTTTGTGCGTTTATTCTATGTTTGTGTTGTTCTGTGTGTAGGTAGCGGCCTTGCGACAGGATAATACGTCCTCCAAGGAGTCCTGCCGACTGTATATAGGAGTAAGAAACTGAAAAAGCGACCAAGGTCCAACAGAGGACAGTGGAGCCATAGACAGATATACTTGTCAACCAATAGGCTTATTAAGGAAATGTAATTCCATATTATTATTACTGTTATTACTATTATTATGATTCTCTTGTTGGGCCTTGGCCGATTTTCAGTTTCTTGATCCCATACACAGTCGGTAGAACTCCTTCGACGGGAGATCAGCTCGTCGCAAGGACTCTCCCTGCATACAGAACAACACAAACAAAGAATAAACGCACAAAATACAGACATCTATGCCTTGATTGGGATTCGAAACCACGAATTCAGTGTTCGAGCGAGTGAAGACAATTCATGCCTTAAACAGCTCGCCCACTGTGATCGGCTGTAATTATTAGCAGACTATGTTTTTCCCCAGGACTGCATATAAAGCGGCATTTTAATAAAACCTAGGTCCAAACTGAATCAAGCTCAATTTGATAGATAAATTTCCTAACAGCTTTTTCATCTAGGGTACAACTTTTCATACCGGGGCTGAGAACATGTAGACAACAGTTAACTAACTTCATACAGATGAGTCCTTGAGAAGTCGCCAGCCGCTCAGCTACTCAAGAATTTCCCTGCATTTTATGGATCCGAAATTTCATTACCTTGTTCACAAGAGCTCTCCACTGGTCCCAACCTGACCCAGACTAATCCAGTCCATACCACACCAACCCATTTCTCTAACATCTATTTTTATATATCCTCCACAGACAGGTGTTTGCATGTAATGCTAAGTTTTTATGTTTCCTTGCCCACATTAACCTGAAGGAATAGGACACTTTACAGGAAGCACGTTCTTGAGACTTCAAGATTCACCTACTGATTGATTGACTGAGCGGTCTAACGGCCAGCTGGCTTATCGATGACTTACTGGAAACTTATTTTTGGAACTGAACGTTATATTTTGAGAGTCCTTAAAATAATATTGGTAATTATCTGAGCCTACCAATATGAAGTCCGTTATGGCGATTGTGCATAATATAAGCATTGATTTTGGCATCATGTTTTGTTTTATATGTATAATTCTTACAGTACCATAAACGTAACAACCGTCTAGTAATCATGTTGTATATTCTTACCTACTACATGTTTCGACCCTATTTCTGGCACATCTTCTGGTGCTATACACATTTACATCTGGTATTCATTTTCACCAATCTCTATTTGGTGTTTGTTTATTTTTAATGCTTCATGCATGATTTTCACAAGAGACGCACGTTATATCAGAAGATAAGGTGTGACAATTGAGATGATTGATTTTTAAATTTGTATACAATCTGACGATGGCCGGGAAATAGAGTCGAAACATGGAATGTTCAGAATAAACATTCTTTATACTAGATAGTTGTGTTGATGGCACTGTAGGAATTGTAATGGTAAAGTTGTCCCTGTGCTTAACTAATTATGCACTACGCCATGAAGGCGTATGGGGAAATGGATGTATAGATCCATATTTCCTTGACCTCGACACTTGCTGGAAGCGAGCGGTCAGCTTCGAGCCTCTGCCGCTTTAACACCTTGGAAAGAGCCTCCCGTGCCCATTGGATAGGAGGTTGGGTGGATCCTTGGACGTGGAGAAGAGAAAATTCTTGACCCTACCGGGACTCGAACTCCGACCCCTCGGTCGTCCATCACGTCGCCAGTCGCTATGCCGACTACTCTATCCCGATTCCTCTACGTATATGCATAGTAAATAGTAGAAAAATGCTTGAATTTTCTGTGTTTAGTTCCGTTGCTTAAATTTTGAAAATACTTCATGTGCTTAATATGACTAAACACTCTCGCTTCTTCTGCCTTAACAATTAATTCAGAAGTAGTGAGCATTTTCCAAACGAGCTATCATTCCTTGCACAGGCGCTCTACGCTTCACAAATCCTCAGGCAATACAACAAGCCGCAGACATAATATCATAACCCTGAGCTGCGTTCGAAGTTGCGGTCTGAGACAGTCCTCGTCCACCAGAATCGTTTAGTGGTCACTCAACTTTTTAACCCCACATTTTTATATGCCGTCAAATTGTAGGATGGTAATGGATAACAAATTTGGAAGTACAGTAAGTGGTCGTGGGATATTTTAAGGTAATTTTTTTTATTGCTAGTGGAGTGGGACTAAGTCCCTTCTACTGCGGCCATTTCTGGCCTACTGTACCCGCCCCAGATGATAGGTGAGGGTGATTGTGGAGCAATTGGTGGAATGAGACTGGCAGGGAAAACCGAAGTACTCGGAGAAAAACCTGCCCCATCGCCACTTTGTCCACCACAAATCCCACTCGACCAGACCCGGGATCGAACCCGGGCCGCCGCAGTGAGAAGCCAGCGAATAACCGCTTGAGCTATGGCGCGGCCAATTTTAAGGTGATACTCAATATTATCTTCAGGGATTGAGGAAAAAACAGATAATCCAAATCAGGGCTGCAGGAAGCCACGGAAAGATTCCAGCCTGGAACCTCTTCCAGTACCATCAATAATAAACGTTAAAAAGAAAAAGAAAACTAAACTGTCTAGTCTGAACTTCGAACAGATCAATTAAAGTTAATAATAATAATAATAATAATAATAATAATTAATATAACTAATTTAATAATGATTCATGATTTCCCGTAAGGTGTACATAATGCCTTAGGAGAAGATCGTTTTACTCTGCCTGTTATGTCCGTGCATCAGTAATCTTCTGAAAAATATTCAACGGATTTCTATTAAATTTTGTATCGATGGCCTATTTTATAAGTTGTGAGACCAACTACGTTCTCAGTCGCATGGATCCAGAATAACTAAAGTCGAAGAGTCACCATTTTCCATAGTGAGCAGGGCTTGTGCTGACTGTATTCGGACCGCAATTAAATTACCACGAACTTATAGTATTTAACCATTCAACACAAAATTTCTTCGTAATTTTTAAAGAGTTTCTGCTGGAACTTGATTAGGCTTAATCGCCCAAGAGCAGTTTAATATCGAAACCTCATCTCTGATAATTGCCTTTTGGAAGACTGCTATTGTAACCTGGCTTCAAATGAGCGTCTTCAGGTGAGTTACTATTGAAAACCCAGCTCTGGTAATCGCCTGTTGGAGGTTAATATTTAAAACTGGTATCTATCAACTGCCTTAAGATGTGTTACTACTGAAGGTTCACTTCTGATATTCGCCTGCTGAAGACTTTTTGTGCCTGCTGAAATCTGGCTTTTCGTAATCGCCTCCTGCAAGGTAATTTTTTAAACATGACGTTTTGAAATCGCCTTCGGCTGGGTTACTATTAAGACCTGGCATCTGATGCTTGCCTTAGGATAAGTTACTATTGAAAGCTCATCTATGATGTTCTTCTGTTGAAAGCTCATTAAATTTATTGAAATCTGGCCTGTGATAATCGCCTTTTAGATGGTTACTGTTGAAATACGGCCTTGGTAATCTCCTTCGGGTTGTTTTTTACTTAGACAAGTTCCATAATCTTCCTTACGCGGAAGAATATTATCTTCTGATATATAACATGCCATACGGTCTAAGCCGTGTACTGTCTTTGGCGGTCCGAACACAGGAATCTTGGATTTGAATCCCACGCAGTGCAAGAACATACAGTATGTCCGCCTTCTCTCTGTGTTGTCCTGTGTCAGTTGGCCTTGAGATGATCCAATTCCGCTTCAACGGAGGCGTACAAAACGCCTAAAATATTCATTGGTATGGGACACGCGGTAACGTAGGTGGTTGAGGCATTATGTTACAAGGTTTAAGGGTCGCGGGTTCGAGTCCCGATGAGGTGGAGTTTTCAATTTCCCTAATTTTTTCCGGCCGCACTATGGCCCTGAGTCGCCTCACTCTAACAGAAATGAGTACAAGGAATATTCTTGGTGGTGCGTAAACCTGACAACCTCACCGCCATCTGTGAGCCGATTGTCTAAATAATGTGAAAGCCTCGATGTGACACATCCTTATGGGCCCCCACGGCCTTCTACAGGGATATCTTTATTTTTTGTACAAATTAATTCATAATTGGATCTGATTTCAGGGTCTAATACGTAAAAGCTGAAAAACGTTGTACGTTATCTATCGGTAGATTGCAGCTATATATACTGAGGTAACAGTTTATTTCTGAAAGACTGGAGAAAATGTATATAATTATTATATTAAATATACATGAGTAGAAAATATTTGATTAGGAAAATTTATTCTGTCACCGTTTTCGAAACTTCTAATTAATCGCCACTCATAAGTATTCAGACGCATGCGACGCTTTACAACCTGTTCAGTCGATACAGAGATGATAAATAGCCTAAGGAATCATATAACAGTGCAAACGTCAATTTTTATCTGAATGCATGTTATTTGCTGAAGAAAGAAAACAAAAGGATGCTTGCCCAGTGCACGTGCTTCTACTATACGCAGCCATTTAACTTTATTGCGAACTGATCGATTGATTTACAGCTGTGGTTTCAAAATACCACGACTTGGCAATCACTTTCCTCTTGCGAGAATACATGCCTTATGCTTTCCTTTCTCACTTTCCAAACACTCATACAATTCGTCTCTTAGTCACGTGTTTAACAAATCATTTCTCTTTCCATCATTTGAGGGCGCTATTTCAAGTGTAGAGACTATGTAGCCTCGAAAAGGTCAGTGACTGCGGAATATGAATTGCAGAGTACATGAAGAAGCCTGTTGTGGCCCATTTTATGCACTATCGCAGCATTTTTCTGGAAGAACTTATTGAAATCAAGGAAATACTGCCAC